ACTGTTTGTGTCATTTCGAGTTAGTATTTTATCTGCTGTTCTAAGAAACCTGATGTATAAATTTATCTGTCGCTTGAATAGCTCTGAAAACCGCATTATTTTACTGTTGACTAACATTGCATACAGTGACATGTGATGTACTTTGGAAACACTGCTATACTTGCCTCTTAAAAGGATAATAGTGTACTGGTTGTAGTTTTTGTGGTGGTTTTTATTGCTTTTATTGTTTTTTGTCATTTTTTATTGTTCAAAATTTGGACCTTGAGTCTGCAATAAAGTATCTTATCTATATTCAGTAATGAATACATTGTAAATAATTTTTCCAAAATTTCATGGAGAGGTGCTGGATGAAGGAAAGGCAAACAAAGAGAACACACCTATTCATAGATGATGCAACTTTTAATGAGTCAAAATCATACAGAGCCATCTTAAAAGTTCACCACATCTCGGCTTTTAAAAAGACATTCTATAACTTGTGAAATGACTCTGTGTTATTTAAATTATAGCATGGAGATGAATAAACAACATGTTACCCAGAGAGAGAGACAGAGAGCAAGAGAGCAGAAGAGAAAGACACTGACTTGAGTAATGACAGCTTTAAAATGTTGGGCTTAAATACTCTGCATTGGAGACGATCCAGAAAAACACAAGGAGAAGAGGGAAAGAATGTACATGAGTAAGTCAGACTGAGTGAATAGAATAGAAAAAAGAAAGTGAGAAAGGGTCAATGAGTATATATGGAAAAATAAGTATAAACAGACAGAGAAAGAATGTCTTCTAAACATAATGCCATTAGAAGTACTCAAGTATCCAACTGAGATTCGTTAAATGAGAGCTTAAATATGTGATCATACAGGGCACGTTTTAGCAGTGTGATGAGTGTTAATAATACTTGAGAGATGGAGGGGTTTTGAACACTGATTTTGTCCTCCAGGAAGCACAGCATGCTTGTAATGTTTTAGAAAAGTGTCCTGAGCAACCAAAAATTAATCAGCTTTGCTGTACACAGGAGAAATCAGAAAATGGGCCACGTTGCCGGTGATTGTTCTACCATGCCAGCCTCATTTAACCACAGAGTCAACAAACCTTATCAAATTATTAGTAAACTTGAGATTTTGGGATGCTGGTATAAAGATGTGGTCTTAAAAAAAGTCCAGCATTATATGCAGCCCTATCACCAGACAGAGCACCGTTACGTAAACACTGGGTTAAGTTCAAACATGTCTGTTTTTTTCCCCAGTACTTTTTTCTGTTATGGCTGTGTATGGCAATTTTGATGTGGCTAAGTTTAGGCAAAGATCATGATTATGGTTAATGTCTGACAAATATATATACTGTATGTATTGCAGTCTCCTGCAACTCAGGTAAGCTTCAGGTTGATGTACCATCCTTCCCTCTATGCACAGATTATCTGCTTTACAACAGGGAGAAGCACACTAAAGGTACAGTGGCCCTGAATACTGGATCTAAAGTTGGACCTGGGGAGTCAACAAAAACTAACATTATTTCTAAGTTACTGGGCTGTGCTCTTCAGTGTGGCTTGAAAAATGTGACCGCTGAATCGGGCCATGGCTGTAATCAATAAAAGCAACATCTTTTAAGTATTGTAAATAAAATTGATGAGGGATATTCTTCTTTTGCTAATGACATGTTGAATGGCTGTTGCCTTCAAATGGACTTTATCACATGGGTATTCATGTTAAATGTGTCAACTCTATTTCAACAAAAGAAAAGTGATCAAATTAGGAAGACCACAGAAAAAGCGTAACAACACTATGGTCGTAGTAAATTGTGGTAAAATGTTTTGAAGGATAAATTGCAGGAAAATGGGAGTAAGAGTTCAACAGTAGCTCCTACAAGACATGAAAGGTATGTCAGTGATTCTGGCAAAAGACTGCTTATATTTACATAAGAACCTATACAAATCCACTGCTTCTGTCCCAATCCATGAATGCAAATTACCAGTGACACTAGCAAATGGGGCAAGACCCCCTAACATAGGAGTCATGTCTTTGATCTTGCCCAATCATAGTCCAGTTTTTCCAATTTTTCTGACCTTCTCCTCTTCAGTTATTTAGCTGTGAGGCTGTAAGTAGAAGTGACGGTATTTGTATTGTATTTTTAGCCCCCCACTTTGGCTACAGAGCGATGTTGTGAATTTACATACTATTGTGTAGCAGGTGTCCTGGCCTTTTCCCTGCCCCCTCCCCCCTCTGCTCTGCACAAGCAAGAGTGCTCTTTGTGCTGATTAGCTTTAATTACACAACCTGACCCAGATTCTAAATTTCCCATTTACAGAGCCAGGACTGGATATAAGCACAAGAGGTATTTTGAGCACACACACTAGATGGACAGCAAGTGGAATATGTGAGGAATTTTTTTCTGAATTTCACTAAATGTGTAATGAATCAGAATCATGGACTATACTTTTAAGCATAAGCAGAGAAGGCTAGCCTGCCTAAAGTCAACATCTGTACAGTCAGTACTGTTTGGGCCAAATAAATATGGACTGCAGAAACAGTCCACTGGTCAAATTCTAGTGAATAGATTGGTCTAACATACAATATGTATACACACTAGCTGACCATTATGCAAAGCTCTTACAGTTCTGTGCCACACATGCAGGTCATACCCATAGGAAAAGCTCCACATAAATGTATAAACATATGAACATGCAGAACAAGGCTATAATAAAGTTGCTCCTCTTAGACTTAAACATGGCTTCCTGGAGGACCTTCAGAAAAAAAAACTGTGAGAAAAATGCAGTGTACTGTATATACAAGAAATAATTGATCTACTAGATGTATGTTTTTATACTCTTGTCTTTTCCAGTTTTATGCAGTACAAATGTTTTCTGTAGTGTGAAAGACAACAAGCTGTGAGATGTTAGCGTAGGACTCAAGTTACTGTAGCTTACTGAAGCTTTGTTAAAACTCCTTGATAACCTTGTGGAATATAATCATTTAATGTGATTGCAGTTAAATGTGAAAACAGATGCGTATAGTTACAGTAGCAATGGTATCATACAGTGTACAGTAGTTCTTGAAAAATGGCTTAGAAAGAAAGAGGTTGGAAACGTTCACACTCTGGGTTCCCACAAGCACCTCTGCTGTAAGATAAAGGCCCAGTTTTAGCCTGCCATTGTGATTGTAATTTATACACGAGCATATACTTTAGCAAATGCTCAAGGCTGCACACAAGTGTTAGAATTAGTAGAATTTAGAAAGCATTAGGATCAGATTTACACATACTGTCTCCCCATGGCCACACGGACATTTGCATCTTGAAACCTTTTCATCCATTACAGATTTATGCCAGGGGGAAAATGGAGTTGAATTATTTTAGAACAAAGGTGCTTCTGAGAAACTAATTCTTAGACAACATCAGATACATGTCAGTCAAACATCAGAACACTGAATAATATGGCAGTTTACATATAGATACACTAAAACTTTCAGTCTTTTCACCCTGAGGGACAGAAACACCATGGGCCTGTCTCTATCTTTAGACAGATGACACATTCATACAATTATGGCTATCGTTTAGGACAAACACTGAGCAAAGGTTCGTTATTTTACTGTGAAGCTGACTGCTGTGGTTTAACCTGGGATTCAAGCTGATGGACAGAGTACTGCCTTTGTTTGTTGCTTTAAGTAATAAAGCAAAAAAGACACAGTATATACATACAATTTTACTGATTGTTTCAAGGTGTCCACTGTAAATTTGAACTATGGGCTCAGTGCCACAATGCTAAATTTAGCTTTTGTGCACTGAGCTAATGTTTTGCCTTTGTCAGAATTTGGAACCAGTAGAACATGTGTAGTTAATGGCTCCATGCACTAATTTTGTAATTCCTGGTGTAACTGGACCAATGGCATCATCTGTAAATCATGAATTTCAGTCATCTGCATGAGCAAATCTAATAAGTACGTATCGAATGGCACAGCTACATGAATGCTCACCTATATGTATACGGGAGAATGAAGAATGTTTCTGATCCTAGAACAGTACTTGCACTCTGAGCAGGTTAATAAAACACTGACTCAGTAACTTTACATCTTTCCTCCACTGTCCTGACTCATATATAACCATCAAAATGATTAACTAAAAGTACAATGAATTCAAATGATTTAACTGTATTTTGTTAAAATGTGTAAAACATTCTGTAACTAGATAAAGTAACAGTAACTTACAGTGGAAAGAAGGATGATGAAAATATCTATAGGCTTTCATCCAACCATATGACAGCACATCAAGATGCTAAAAATAATCAAATTCAAGAAAAGAAAATAAGTTAACATATCTCAAGATGTAGAGATTTACACTATGTACAACATTTTTAAAAGTAACAACATTGTGTTCATTGACTGGTAGCTCCATTATTCTCCTTTCAATTCAGACTTTCTGTTGCACTGTAAAGCTGTTGTTGCTCAGTCATGTCTGGGATCTGATGTCAGGGTGGATCCTTCACTCTACACAAAAATGCTTCTTTTAAAGTAGTCCTAATCTTTAAATGGTTTCCTCCCAGTCAGCTGTTATTCTTGTAATGGTGATTGTTTTTGCCTACCCAGCGGCAGAAGATTCCAATGGCTTTGGAGCATGGCAGAAGTCCACTCTTTGATAAGGGGGAAAAAAATAAGGAAATAAAATAATAAAATAAAGAATATATATGTCTTTAAAACTATAAACCAACAATAAAACATACATGTAACTTCATCTTGGGTAGTCTGACATTCTACTCAAGCTGCAAATGGTACAAAAGCTTTGTTTTTTTTTTTCTTTTTCACCTAAGGGATTTTTAAATATTATTTTAAACATTTTATTTCTGTTTTTGAGCATTTTTTGCAGTATATAGTGTTCAAAGTAGTTTGTAAAAAAAAAATGAGGAAAGTTTACAGCTAGTGTACATTTTAAGAAGGTAAACAAAATCTAAAAGTGCTCTTATTTTGAAAGACTATTTTTGAGTTTCCAGTGTTTAGAAAGAAGTAGGAGGCACTTAGGTCCATATCTATGGTGACAGACAAGTCACTCAGGCTATGCTTCCAGGCTTAGGACTGGAAGGTCTGGTCAGTTTCTTGTGGAAGTGAAGAGTTCAGTGGGCTAAACGTGAGAATGGGACTGGAAGGTGAATCTGTAAAGGCTTTTCAGAACACTTTGGAGTGTGTTGACATTGGACTAGCACTTAAGAACACAGTGGCTGCTGTACATGACGTGTGCTTATACACACAGTCCTTTCTCATTGAACTGAAGGCTGGTCCTTCATTTGATCACATGCATTGCAATGTTAATCCAGAACTACCTGGTTCTCCTTTTATTCAGCGTTCTCTAAAATGTGATGGTATACAATGTCAGCATTTGTGCCTCTTTAATTTTTGTATCAGGACAATTGTGGTCACAGCCACAAAAATGCTGCGAGTTTCACAAGTAGTCATGGCTGAAAAAGGTTCCATTTTGAAATGGTATTGTGTATAATCTAGGACAGGACATTTGAAATAAAGCCAAGCTGAGCTGAGATGAGATCTACCCACCTAGGTCAGGCTTCATCAAAACTTGGATGCAGCCAAAGCTGCACTGATCTATACAGGGTGAAATGAGAATGCATAGGCTAGGAAATGATGACCTAAATTATCAGGATAAGAAAAAACAACTTAACCAGACCGGTACAATCAGGTCTCTTCAGTTCAGTCCTGTTTGATTCAATCCATAGTTCATAGTCAAGTCCTAGTCATGAGTTAATTCAAAAAGGAGCAGGACTGGACTACAGAAACTCAGACCAAACCATGGGTCCCAACCAAGGTCCAAAATGTTTCCTCTGATTATAATGCGATGCAATACATTGTAATCAAGTCAATTCCAATCCAGCTAAACACACATTACTCCACATTAGTTAGTTCATTCTAGACATTGCATCTCAGAACAGGAAAGTCATATGTCAACCAGATGGATGCATTGTACAGTCCATTCCTAATCCCAATGCAAACATTTCCATTATACACTATGTTGTAAATCCAGGCCAGACCTCTTTTCCAAGGCAGTTCATTTCCTTCTGATTCAGTGTGCTCACTCTTTTTCCATCTAGTCCAAACCAAAACACATCCCCTTTCTATCCCAGTATGTCCAGATACACTGGCATAGCTTTCATCAGAGTAAACAGCATTTTCTGAATGTCCTTAATGTTGAGGCGCTGTTGTGGCTCTCTCTGCCAGCAGCCCAGCATGATATCATAGACTTCCTTGGGACAGAGCCTGGGGCGCTCCAGTACCCTGCCCTGAGTAATACACTCGATCACCTGGGAAGACACAGAGATGTGGTTAAACAAAAAAATTGCATATTGTCCTGTTGAAGAAGAGCTTTGTTTATAGAACCTGTTTGTTGGGTTTTCCCTGTAATACTGCAAGGTCTAGACCTTCTTATGTAAAGTGCCCTGAGATGATGGTTGTTGTGAACTGGTACTATACAAACAAAATTGAACAAAACTGTACATAACATGTAAAGTGCAACACTGCCAGTCTGTTTTGCACAGTGCCACAGCAGGCACGTCATTCAGACACAATAAGAGGTCATGATATGGTAATCTGGGTGTATCAATCTAAAAAGTGAATGTGATGAGATGAGTGCTTTTCTGGAGAGCTGCCACCGATCCAAGGTGCGAAATAAGGTTGTAGCATAAACTGATAATGTTGCACATGAAGAAGTATGATGACATTTAAATGCTGGCTTTTTATCAACCCACTGCAAATCTGTCTACTTATTTAATAGTAAACAGTATTCCAACTTGAATCTTTAATACACAATATTATTCTGTGAAATTCATCCATTGCTCTCTGCTGTCATAAATTGTCTATTATGTTTTCTTTTTGTAATAGTTTAATTTCCCCTTGTTTTCCTCTGTGCAGTCTTTTTGAAAAGCTTTACTGACACTTTCTGTGTGAAACTGTCTGCCCTTGGGCTGTTAGATCAATAGCTGAGACTATGAAAACAAATGCAACCTAAACTAATTAACTTTCTAGAGACATGTGATGCCAAACAACTGATGATCTGTGAGGTTTCAAACACTGCTTTGGATTTTGAGTGTTTATATTCTGTGTGCCTTTTTGAACAATCTGAGCTTAACCTCTAGAGTCCTGAGCTTTGGAAACCCAAGCTGTGCGGTCCTCATATGAGGACGCAGGGACTCTAGAGGTTAAAGAAAAGTCAGATTTTTAGCCATTAATTGTAGGCATTATGTTAAATGTTATGTTACATATACTTCATTGTCTCCCTTAGGAGAAATTCGTAGAAGGCTATACATTGCATAACAAGTATTCATAAGGTCTGATCGCCAACCTTTTAGTAAACATTTTTTTCATCATTCAGAATTACTAGTTTATTTTAAGGACAAACTAGAAGAATCTGCAGCCCATCTTTACTGCATTTTCCACACTGAACATTTTGAAGAGAGACTACTGAGGAGCATGGATAAATGGTGAAGAAAAAAAAAAAAGGTTCCAGTGATGACGCTTTGGTGTTTTGGAACTGATCTCCTGGTTTTATGGTTGAGTTGTTGTTGTTGCTGTACCTACATTGAAAATCAGTGTAATTTCACTGCGTAGGTGGATTAATAATGTAAAAATAATTGAAGATGTTGACTCAGAAGCAACACATGATCTTTCCAACCTGAAGGTAACTTAGGCATGTAACAAGACGTACACAACCATTAACATAATATAATGTTATTAGTGATGATCAGATTAAGTGGAGCATCCATGATGTAACTGTTCCACATGAATTAAAGTGTTTTTCTTATGTCATAACCAAATGCAGTGTTTCTCCTATCAGTTTCATTCATTCAATCAATCACAGCAGGCCACAGTGTATAGAGTCGCGCAAGGGCAAGGTTCTTTATCCACCATTCGAACAATCCTTCATTGCAATGAGTCATCTATGGCTGTAAACATCTTGACAATGTTGTGCACAGTGGACACAGGAACAGTCAGATCTCTGGAGATGGATTGGAGCCTAGAGACTGTCCAGGCTTTTTCACTATTGTGGTTGTCTCATCCTCAGCCATCCTCTTTGCTCTTCTTTCTTTTCTCCATGCTCAGTGTGGTGCACATAATAATAATAATAATAATAATAATAATAATAATACT